TCTCTCTTTTTTACATTGGTCCCGAAACCTTCGAAATTTCTCAAAAAACATGGATATTAGCCTTTAATTTTTTAATTTTTTGACTTTTTTTCATACGGAAATAAAAATTGCCAAAATATTTACCATGATATCTAATACCCCTCGGGAGTCAAATTGGGTGGGTGGAATCATCCAATTTGCATTTAAACGGTCAATTTACCGGTTTACAACTTGCACCGATTTCATTACTTCAAGCCTACAACAAACATTTATGGCAACATATAATGATCATATATGGTTCCAAACGTCATTATATGACCCCGAGATCGATGTATCCTCTAAACTCTCAAGCCTTTTCAACACCAGGTCTGGAAACCTCAAAAAAAATTTCAAATGCATGGATATTAGCTTTTAATTTTTGAATTTTTTGACTTTTTTTTGCCGGAAATAAAAATTGGATGTAGCTAGTATTTAAAAACGGAGGGAAAACTCCGTAAGAGAGGTTGTATTAATATATCTGTAGCAATTAAAATTACATGTAAAAGTACGTATACAAGTACTATGTGTAGATGATAGACTAAGCAAAAAAAATGCCGTACGTTTAAGTCTGAATTGAATTTTGATTAAGTAGGCTTTCGGTCCGAAAGCAATAGTGAAAATCGTAACCAAACAAAAAAGCAAAGAATTGGATAAGTACAAATCCAAAAGGTGATACGATGCTTTTGTCTAACTCAATAACAATCATATAATGACAATCCAACTGTCTCCCTTGATCATCATTTATTACTCATAATTAACCAATGCCACTCTCTTACAATCTTTTTCCATCATCTTTGAAATCCGATTTTATGGGAGAATTTCTATGGAAAATAAATGGTATAGTGATAATAATAATGTCTATATATATTAATATATATATAGTATATGCAAAAGACATAATGAAGAAATAGAAGATCCCAAGACGGATTTAGGTAGCAATTGAAGATAATAGCTTATGTATGTTAGCGGGATGTGTCTTTATGCCTTTATTGATCAATAGTTAAGTATTTTATTTATCGATCTGTATTATAAATACAATATCTTTTTAAAGCTTTAACTGAATAGATTTGATAAAAATAAAAAAATAAAATATACTGGGGTATTGAGTTAAGTGTTGTGTGTGTAAGAATAGAGTAATAGTCTTTTATGGTCATTTAATTTATAATACAATATTAATATACAAACTCAAAATAAGCAAATAAATATTGAAAGAAACTTGGAGCAATATTAAAAAGACAGACAAGATAGGAAATAATTTGTATTCCCTCTGTCCCTTAATTTTTGCTTTTTCAGTATAATTCTGTAATACAAGTATGTAAACAGTGAATTTTGCATTACCAAAATTTAATGGCCGGTCAAGATCATCATGCGCCTTTTGTCCCTTTGCAATATTTCTCTTGCCACCTTTTTTATTGGCTTTCCGTCATATCATCTCATCATATTCATGAGATTTTAGTGGCCTGGCCTTTGTTTTTCTAACATGTTTTATTTTGAAAGTATTGCGTGGCTGTTTAATCATTAAGATAATGTATGTTTGCTGATGAGCTTATCTTTGGCGTAACCATAACTATTATTGCTAATTTGATCGCTAATTTATTAATCTCTTTCACCAACTCTCTATTTTGTCACAATCCATATCCCTCATAGGCTCATAACATATGCCAAACGGAGCCTTAAAAACCGATGATGATTATCAAAAAAAAATTATAATTATACTAGCATGCAAGGATTGAACCTGGGTGCGCTTAGAACCAAATAACGGGTGACCTATCATTTAATATTGGCATGCAATGGGAAAATATCAATGGGCTTATATAGTTTGTTTGTCCTAAAAAGGCATGATATTCACACCTCAAGGAAAGGCAGCTCATTATAGTCTCACCACATCTGTATAGTACGAGTAATATAGTGTGGTATGCCTTGTAAGGAGTAATCTAATGCTTACTTTGGATAATGATGGCGGACCCTTGTTGCATTCATTCCTTTACCTAGCTACTCATGAGTTTTTTTTATTTTTTTTTTCAAAAAAAAAAAAAGATACAAGCTGCTTTTAAAAAGCTGCTGATTTATTATAATTACTCTTGATACTTCTCATTCTAGTGTCTAACTAGTATAGTAATTGAATTCATACTTGACCGTGTCTTTTAATGCTTCTACTTGAAGTTATGTGAATATTATTGGATCAATTTGCTGCGAATAGGAAACATAAGGGGAGGGTTAACTGTAAAGATAACTAACATAAGACCATTTGATATGTATGTTGTTATTGGTAAATAGACACATGATTTTAGTAATCCTAGACTAGTCCTAGTCAAGTATACAATGAACATTAGGTCAACAGCAAAGGCATCAGGCAAGTGATTAGTCATTAGTCAATAAAACTAGATAATTTTATTGTGTGCATGAAATATATTACTAGTAACACGTAATAATGCATGTATATACATAGTAGGAGCTATATACATTCTGTCTTTTCTTAATTATGCATGGAATGCATTTTAGATAAATTATGCACGGATATATAGTTAATAATAATTGTATAAATTAAATAAACATAATATATACTATATATAAAGTGTAAGTTTTGAATATTTTATCAGTTTAGTTATACAAATATCTTGTTGCTTTAACTTTAGGGGTTGGACAATTATCTTACTGGGTATTATGAAAAAACTATTAGTCGTACACTAGTAACACATTTTCTTTAAGGATGAAACATGAAAAATGTACTCTATATACTACGAGTATTGTAATTGGAGAGATAGGAATTTTTTTACCCGGTTCCCCACAAAACACACTATTATTACAGCAGATAAAAAACAAGAAAGAGGTAAAATTAAATAAATAAAGGAAATACTATATTGTACCAACCCACAAAAAAGCAGCACAAACTCATGTGTCTCCAACTATGGCTCCATCTTTTTATGCCGTAGTCCCTTTTTATTTTTATTTTTTTTTAATATGAGAAAAAACATTTCCTATTAAAATAATAGCCCGCATTTCATTTTTTTTAGGTCAGATAAAATAATAGCCCGTATCTAATATTATAAGATGGGATGGCCGAAGTCATTTTTTCCGGCAAGGGAAAAGCTCAATCTTCTACTTATGTATTAATATACTACATTCGTTTCGTATTAGTTGCAATTTTAGAGTATTATTTATGACATAAAATATTCTAAAGTTGCAACTAATATGAAACGGATGTAGTAAGATTAAAATCTAGTACGTGTATCCAGCCCTTATTCCAAAAATAATATTGGTAATAAATAATTAACTGTAAATGTGTAATGGTTGTTGATACTGTAATTGATAATGAGGGAATATAGGGTATTAGAATACAAGGACGTGAATATTCAAAACTCCGTAAAACACAGCCACCTAAGAAAGGATTTGATGATTATCTAAGGGAATGTTGCTGTTTGTAAAACAATACGGAGTAATAATAATTGAGGATAAAAGTATTGAACCAACAATGACTATCATGTCAGCAAGTTTTGGTCGTACCAACAAATTTTTATTTATTGAGCAGTGAAAAAGAATAATGGAACAACTGCCCATGATATGAGTGTTCTTCGAATACACCTTAATTATTTTATTTTTGTTTATTTAACATATCTTATTCCGCCCTTGAACTTTGGTTTAGCGCATGCAAACTTAATCTTTTATCTATTATGTTTATGGTTAGGGATAATCATGTTTTTCTCTAGCCTACAATGATAAACATCCAAAAGATTAAGTAAGCCCCATTTCATCATACTATGCAAATTGATTACCAATTCTTAGATGATGGTATAACCTTGAATTACTTATGTTAAAAACATTTTATGGTTGAAGCCATTAAGAATTTGTGTTTTAAGGTGTGCTAATTATAGAAATTTAATGTGAATTGGAAGGCAATGAAAGCTTATTTAATTTAAGATGTACACTAATTTCTCTGTCATCAATTGATATGAAAACTATTGATGACAGTATAAGCTCAATAATAACGATGGCGGAGGCACAAAGTTTGTCGATTTGTCAGCAAGTATAATGTCATTCAATTTAGCTTTATTAAATGTTACCATATAATTGCACACAAACCACCTGTACCAAATCGTTATTACTTGTAATCTCCATATAAAGGATCAGTTACTGAATAGCTTAATACACTCATGCATATATCGCGATCTTTAATACAGTATAAATGTTTAACTTTATATTTTTTGATAAACCCATCAAAGTTACATAACTTATCAAAAATCATACATTATCGTCCATCTTTAAGTTACATTTAAGCACATTATAAGTAAGCAATTAAAAGACTGATAAATTCAAATACTTATACGTAAGTAAAGGAGAGTAAATTAAATAGTAACACTTAGAGTCTGTTTATATTTATTGAACTGAACTAAACTAAGGGTCTGTTCTCATTTCTGAGCTGAACTGAACTGAACTAAGTTGAACTGAACTGAATTGAGCTGAACTGACTGAAATGAATATTTTATAAGAGAAGGAAATTAGGAGCTGAACTGAACTGAATTTCAACGTAAGAGAACGGGCCCTAAATAGGGCTGAAATAGACATTTTACGAGAGAAAGAAATTATTGAAATTAAGTTAAAGTGAACAAGCCCTTTAAATGAAATCTGAAGACTATACGAGAAAAGAGTATTGAGGGCCTATTCTCTTACGTTGAAATTCAGTTCAGTTCAGCTCAGTTCATTTCAGTTCAGTTCAGTTCAGCTCCTAATTTCCTTCTCTTATAAAATATTCATTTCAGTTCATTTCAATTCAGTTCAGCTCAGTTCAATTCAGCTGAGTTCACTCAATGAGAGCAGACCCTGAATAAAACAATAATCCTGAGATTAACAAAATACACCGTACAAATGAGTTAGTATTAGAAGAAATTAGGAATTACGGATACACAAAATGCAAAAATGAAGAGATGATAGTGGGACACGCGAGACACTTAAGATTTGGGGTTGTCCCGACACTATCACATGCTTATTTCATTCTCTCTCTTCCAAAAAGCTGCTACTTCACTTCCCACCATCTTTCTCAGAGTAATTGTAATTTAGCCCATTTCACGAGGGCATTTCTGTCCTCTTCTCACGTCATCTCTTTCGACAGCAATACCCCGTCCTACTCCTATCCCCTTACGACAAAATTCACGGAGTGGCTTTTCTGTAATTTCTCCCTCCTTTCCTGCCCCCCTTTTCTTTTCTCTTTATTCTTCCTCCATTCCTTTTCATTATACGGACTACTCCTCTTGTGCTTACTTCACTCTCTCTTTCACTCTCAACATCTCAATCTAACTTTCAACCTCACCGGAAAACCACTTTTCTCGCCGTTAAACCGCCTTTTAACCCTAATTTCCCGGTAATGGAGGTCATTGTGTTTGATTACGAGCTTAAAGCTAGTGGTATAGTGTAGACTAGTTTCTCACCTTTTTGTTTCTTAATTACTCTCATACTTTCACTCTTTCTTCTTAGACACTTCACTCTCTCAAGTCTCTTAAGAGAGAGAGAGAGTGTGCTCTTGTTGTGGTTGTGGTTGTTTGAGGGGGTGTCAATTTCTCTCTCCTACGTGTCTAAATCTCCATCGTAGGATGGATATGAGAAGCATGATCGTTGAAAACTTGGATCCATTGAGGAAAAGGTGTGGGGGATTGAGAACTAAACAAGCGGGGAGAGGCTCGTGCCGCGGAAGTTAGGGTTCGTCTCATCGAAAAAATTAATTATAAAAAAAATGTATTACGATCTCTATTCATTTCTTTTTCTCTTGTTCGATTTCTCCCAGTAACAAATCTACGGTACTACGTTTTGTTTTTTGTTTCTGGAAAAAAGAGGTTATTATTGGTGTTAAAACGCATCGTTTTGTTGAGATAATTGGTGACCGAAAACGATGGGTTACTTGTTGAAAGAAGCACTTAAGGCTTTATGTGGCGTTAATGAGTGGTCCTATGCTGTTTTCTGGAAAATCGGTTGTCAAAATCCTAAGTAAGTTTTTGCTTTCACTTTATTTATTTCAATTTTATGGCGCCAAAATAATACCACTATTTTCATTCAACTTGATTTCTTAGTGTTGTTTATTTATTAAATTGTAGTGTTGTTTTTGGTGCGATTAGTTTACTGAAAAAAAAAACAAAGAAGAATAAAAAGTGAGTATGAATGGTTATGTTTGGTTTATTAGGGTCAAATGTGATGAAATTAGTAATTGAATGCCAGTCTTTGTACTTTTTCCTTGGCCTTGAGTTTTCAGATGAATTTTGATTCTTTGTTTTGGACTTTCTTATATTCTCGGTTTCTTCTTTATTGTCTTTCAGAATCTTATAACTGTTTTAGTTCTACTCCGTATTTCTGTTTTTAGTTTTAAATTTTGCCTTTTCAAAAGTGTTTTTCTATTGTATGAATTGCATAATGAACTTTATATTAACCATCGTTGTATAAGTCATGTTAATTTTGAAAACTGACCGGAAGCTACTTTTTCCAGCATCCAAAATACAACGATCACGAACAAGCCCTATGAATTTAAATTAGGTTTATTGTGACTACTACTACTCTAGTGCTCTACTAGCTTTCGATTTCTTCATCTGTATTTAATTTCCTCCTGCCTTGTCCATGTTGCTAATAAGTTGAACTGTTGAAGATACTATTGGTGTTTGGGTGGTTAATTTAATTAGTAACTGTTTTGCTAAGATAATGAAAATTATGAATGGGCAGGCTACTGATTTGGGAAGAGAGCTATTATGGATCATCTCCCAGTGTGCCCTCCAACCCAAGTATGGGTAACCAGGAAATAAATTTGCAGAAACTGGAAGGCTTTAATAACGACACACAACTGGGTGACAAAGTTCATTTGCTTATGGATAGGATGATGATGTCTAACCATGTTAATGTGGTGGGAGAAGGGTATGCCCTGCTTGTTATTTTTTCCTTTTCTTGGCTTAATTATCTACACTACAGTATGACAGTTGTGACTATGCGAGTATGACGTTTTGTCAAGTTAAAGAAGAAAACCTTTGTTTGGCTTCTTTATTTTTTTTTCCTAACTACAGTAATTTTTATCCATGGATTCTTTAGATTGGTTGGCCGGGCTGCGTTTACAGGGAATCATCAATGGATTGTCTCTGGAATGTATAATGAAATTGCTCGCCCAGCTGAGGTACATAGGAGATATTACATTTCTTCCCCTTCTTCCCATGATTGAAATCACGGGTGATTGATTTTTCCTCAAAATAAAACGGTGGCTTGTTTCTAATCCTCTTAATGATTCCTACATAGGTCGTAGTGTACGTTTCTGTAAGAAGCTCACTAACCTTCGTGTTAATGCTCATGATGAAACATCAGTAATTTTATATGGAGACATTCCCAGCTTTAACTTAAGAAGTTGAATTTCTATTTTACTCATCTAGTGAAAGTTGATTGCTTACCGGGTATGCGCTTATGAATATGTTGCTTTAAAAAAAAAGCTGAAAAATGACGTGGTTATGTTCTTTATTAAATAACATTCCCATTTCAGTAACAGTGTGGGTAAGAGAGATGGTTGACTTTTTATTGAGCAATATCTAACTCGATTTTTCCTGTTATCTTCAGGTTCTTAATGAGGTTCATCTCCAATTTTCTGCTGGCATGAAAGTAAGGCTCAATCTTCAACAGTGTTTGGCTTCTTTTACCCCAGCTGTTACTGCTTTTATATTGCTGTTGTTACTTAGATGTATATCTGTATTGCAGACAATCGCTGTCATTCCGGTGATTCCACATGGAGTAGTTCAGCTTGGTTCATCATTAACTGTAAGTTTGCATCATCTATTTGGATGAAGAAAATGCAATTGTTCATTTTCTTTTGCAAGTGCTCTCTTTGTAGTTCATAGTCTATCTTTCCTACATTTTATTCACTATCTTGTGTATTTCTCATGGAAAACACATCACTCAAAGGCACTTAGCAGCATAATTTATTATTGGCTTGATCTTCACAGAAAGATCGGAGATGTATTGAGTCGTCTAATGCGTTCTGAATGCCAGAAGTTCATTAAGTCTAGAGTGTTTATCAAAGACTATTTATATCATTCACTCTTCCTTGGTAAAACTTAGTGTTAGCAATAAGTTAATTCTGTAAGATGTAGTGTCATCTTCCTCAATTTGCCGAAGTAGTTCAAGAGCTTTGCTACATATTGATGCTCATACCTTCTTTTGCTGAAATTTTATTTCACGTGTTTGATTCTGAAACCAAAGCCCCTGCTATTTTTTACTTCAGGTTTGTTAAAAATTTAGTATAAAAATTAAAAGGCCTTAAAAGCTATGAAGGAGAAAGCTGGGTTTCTTACTTACTTGGCAAGTTGTGGGCCCAGGCAAGTAACGTAGGCCACAGCTCACCTTTCAGTCTAGGAAGTTGGATCTATCGTGTATATCGCTTGCCTTTCAGGAATTATATCCACAAGAGCTTATTTTTTGTTTTCATAGATGTCCCAATAGAATAATAGATTCGGATCCTGATACAACTTGCAGAGTCTGAGCATGCAGGTTGTTTGCTGGCTATTCAGGACGAGTCTAATCTTGTCATCCTGATACAATGACGTGTCAAATAATTTTATTCCTCAGATTCCTTATCAGATGTTTCACTACTAATTACGTGAGCATAATGCACTCTGAACTGGATATAACCCACTTATCTCTCAATGCACTAATCTACACTTTCACCTACCTTTTAACATAAATTCATGCTACACCCTTCCTTGAAATTATGGTACATCTTCCTTAATTGGATGTTTTAATTTCAATATTTCTTAAATGTCATGTAATCTCAAAAAAACCATGTTCAATAGGATATATGCTGGATCATCTTTAAATTCAGTGGTTGTTAAAAACTTGAAGGTACTGTGTCATCATCATTTTGTTTGTATACTAGACTACTAGTTGTCCCTACTCCCTTTCTTGTTGAATAATGTATTGTTCCACAATTCCTGGTTAAAATTGATTTTTTCCTGATACCTTTTGCTTCAGATAATGGAGAATGTTGGATTTGTGCATGATGTGAGGAGTTTTCTTCTTCAATTGGGATGTATTCCTAGTGCATTTATCTCTGATAACTATTTTGCAAAAGATGCTGCATCCATGTTGGGGCTGCCAGTTGCTGATGCAATAGCTAACCCCATCAATCTACACAGACAACCAACACAGATAAACTCTCATGATATAGCTGCAGGAGGTTTCAATTTGCAGAGAAACTCATCTGAGATTCATGGGCTTGTCAATCAATCGTCCAATTGTCTTCTTACTCAGTTTCAAGATAACCTGCAAGTTAGTGGTTCAATATTTACGATGCCTAACCCGATTCAAGATTCATGCAAGGCCAAAGGAGTTCATGATGCCTCAATGGTTACTCCTATTGTTCATTCCAATGTCCTTCCTGTATCAAACAGAAGCAAACAAGGAGTGGTAATGCCTTTGAAATCTGATTTAGCGATGAACCAGTCTTCTTCCAATAACCCAGGGTTAGGGATCAGTTGTCCTCAGTCAACTGTCAGTTGTTGGCATCCCTCATCGTCAAAGCAGCTGGTTGTCTCACATGAAGGTTCAGTAAAAGGGAAATATAAAACTTCAACATCTGTGTTTATCCCTAATGAACGCCATCATGCGGCTTTAAATCAGAGTGATGCCCCTTTGTCAGCATCAAACAAATTGGATATTGATATTGATGGTGGCCATTCGTTTCAAACATCACCTTGTGCCAATATGGTTGTTCAGGACACTGATTCTTCTATCAAGGATGTGGCTAATTTGTTAAAGTCCGAAAATACGAGTACTCCTAGTAAGTTAATAGGTGTTCTTAATCATGGAAATTACACCAAAGATAGTGCGCTTAGAGCTACGTATAACCATGGGAAACTGAGTGATTGTTGTGAAGTCCTGGAAACTCATCCTAGAAAAGTGCATCAATCTGGTGGTTTTACTCATGATAATATTTGTATTGGAAATTTTGTACAACCATCAGTTAACTCTGTGCTTGAGGATATTTTTCTTCAGTCATCAGCAGGAGATGACTTATTTGATGTACTAGGAGTGGATTTAAAGAACAAATTGTTGAATGGTAACACTATTAATCTTCCTAACAGCTCCTGTGCAATTTCAGAAAATCAAACTAAGGATTTGCCAAAATCTGTAAACCAGCAAAGTTTGGGTTCTGAGGTGTATTCAGATTATGAAGGAATCTCTGAAAGTGTCGTTTTCTCTTCATCTGGTTCAGATCACCTTTTGGATGCTGTGATATCTGGTGCTGGCTCTGTTACCAAGCAGATCTCAGATGATGATGCTTCCTGCAAGACTACTGTATCGAAGATCAGTAGTTCCTCTGTTCCTAGTACTCCTCACAACAATTCTAACCTATCTGGACTGTTTAATATATCTGATAGGATGCAGGGCCAGCTATTTGGGCTTACTAAGCCTGTAAGTAGAATAGTTGAACCAGTAGGCAATTCTGTAAGGTCTGCAAGTGGTAAGAATGATGATGGAAGCTGTACATATGGATCACAAATTAGCTCCTGGATTGAACAAGGGCCTAGTACTAGTGTTTCTACTGCAAATTCAAAGAAGTCTGATGGAGGAAAATCAAATCAAAAAAGACTTAAACCTGGGGAGAATCCTAGACCAAGGCCTAAGGATCGGCAGATGATCCAAGATCGTGTGAAGGAACTCCGTGAGATAGTGCCAAATGGGGCTAAGGTAATTTTTTTTGTTAGCTGTCCTCTTAATGGTTTTGCAGTTATTAAGAAAGATATTGACACCATTTTATGTCTATGTTGTGCAGTGTAGTATAGATGCATTGCTGGAACGTACCATTAAGCACATGCTTTTCCTGCAGAGTGTCACTAAGCATGCTGACAAACTAAAACAAACAGTGGAGTCCAAGGTAGAGATGATCATTCTTACATAACTTCTGGTTTTACAATCAGTCACAGTTCACATTTGAATTCAGTATAGCCATTTGAATAGGCAGTTAGTGCTTGTTCTAAATTTAATTCTAAAGCACAGAATTTTAGAGCTGCAAAGTGTTCTAGTCCTCTATCTTGTTCTTGCAGATTGCTAAAAAGGAAGGTGGAATGCCTTTAAAGGATGAATTTCAAAGCAGTGCAACCTGGGCCTTTGAGCTTGGTTCCCAATCTCTGGTTTGCCCAATAGTGGTTGAAGATTTAAATCTGCCTCGACAATTGCTTATAGAGGTAATATCTTGTTTTTTAGAGAGACATGCGGTGATTCCTATTCCTTTGGAGATGGATTTAGCAATCATGCAATGATTATATATTTTCTCAGATGCTTTGTGAAGAACGGGGTTTTTTCTTGGAGATAGCCGATATTATTAGAGGACTGGGGCTGACCATTTTAAAGGGTATAATGGAGGCTCGTAATGATAAGATATGGGCACGCTTTGCTGTTGAGGTAATTCTTAAGCACATAGACCTTCTCTAGGGCACTTGATTTCACATTGTAATGCAAGCATCATATTCCAGAGAAAATGACAATCATCTTCATTTATGTGGTTACATGTTTGCTTGTAGGCAAACAGGGATGTCACGAGGATGGAAGTATTTATCTCACTAGTCCATTTACTGGAACAAACTCTGAAAGGCAGCGCAAGTTCAGTTCATGGCACTATTGATGATAATATGGCAGTTCTTCCTGTGTCCATTCCCGCTCCGATAGTTTGCGGTGAGCCATCTATGTAGTCTTTTGAAAGTGAATATGTTGCGGAGCCATGTATGAAGTAGTCATTTGAGGGGGATGTTGCGGTGAGCCATCTATATGAAGTAGTCTTTTGAGAATGGATATGTTGAGAGCAAGATGTCTAACTTGCTATGACCGACAAATCCAATGTCCTTGCGTGGGAGGAGTAGAAAGTACATATGGAGGATTTTAATTTGGGTTGTGTAGGTAGTAGTCGTTGACCTCTGAATATGTATGACATCTCTATATAGGGTATTTCCTATGGACATTGGCTTCCTTGGTATTCTTGGTGTTTCTAATTTGGGTTTAAGTAGGTATAGATATAGATGTGAAGGGAGAGATTAACTATTTGGAGGTATATTATAAGGGGTAAAGTGCGATAATTGTATAGAATTACACAGAAGGTTGGGTTGGAAAGGGGGTTTTATAAACTAAGGTTTGAAGATTAGTGTGTTTATTAAGTTGGCTTCAACCATGTGTACTTGGATAGTCATCTGAAATTCCAGTAAATTTTATGTATGATCTTGTAGAGATCTATTGTCCAAATGCAATTCGGAAGAATATGTGTTTTTGGTTTTTCTAAGGCAAGGAATTTTCATATGTTTTCGTCTTTTTATTGTATGTATGATCAATTAAGAAAATTAATACATGTGGATCTAAGAGCTGCTTATAAAGTTAAATTTAGAAATGTTAAGCATAATCATATTAATACCATTAATTGACATCTAATTTTGTTGAGTAAGAATTTCTATCTCAAATAATATAGTTTATACGTAGATAGATGGTACGAGTATGTAATTATTTTATACAACCCCTGGAACTTAATTCGTACGCTACATTCTAAGTATTAATTTCGTCAGCAGTTGACTCTATGAGTTCAATTAACATCTTTCTTGGTACCAAACATTGAACTCGCAATGAATAGCTGCAATTCATGATTATGACTTTATGATGTAACTAAAGAAACCATCTCAGACCTCACCTGGAATGGAATTTTGGTGAAAATTCTGCTTCGTAACAAACTTGACTCTTGGACACCATGGGATGGTACCCTACCCTACAATCTCGGAGTTTGTGACACCCTCTCAGCTCTCTTGTATTGATTTTGTGCACAGCCTTTATTCTTGTGACACCATCAATTTTTAGTTGGTTACAACGTACACCTCCTTTCGTAATATGAGACTTGTGAATGTGATGCCTTGGCTTGGCGTTGTGTTGCATGGATTTACTTTGGTCTTTGGCAATTTCCAGAATTAGATGTTTCTACTGTAAAAATGAGGCATTATGCCTATTGGCCCTTTCTAATTAAAATTCAATGAAGGTCACCAAATTGTACGTTTGAAAAATCCAATAGTCTTTTGAAAAAACGAAATTAGGCTAACCAGAGAATACATGAAAAGGAAGTGACACGCGGTGCGCTGAGGCTAACCTTCCAAGCTATCTACCAGAAGAAATAATCAATCTGGATACTTCTCCGCGTTTTGGCACAAATTTATTTTTAACTTTTCCAAACTATACAACATATTTGACCTACACACCACCTACTATCAACTTTCTTATTTACTTCGTGCAAACAGACCCACCTAAACGACAATTGTTTAGCCGGAATTCAGTCGTTCAAAACTGTAGCTAATGAATCAAACTAATTAGCAACCACAACTTTAAAAGTTACTCCATATACGTTCGTCAGGAAAAGAGTTGAAATTCATACTGGAAGTGTCCAAATAAAATATCTCTCTTTTTTTAAAGTAAGTAGTGGCCAATCATTCCAAGTTAACTAGCTTAGCACATGAGCATCTGTCATTCACTTGGCAGATTAACTCCTATTAATAAACTAATTGTCTAGAATCTAGATTAGAAATCAGTTGTCTGTACTATTATTATTATTTCAAGAGAGATTACCATCAATTAAAGAAGGAAGGAAGGAAGGAGCAATAATATAAGATGTTGATGTCCAAGTATGACAAGATTAAGACTGATATTAGTCATATCAGTCAATTAACAAAGAAGCTTGCGAAAGATGATCCTAGAAGGATTATTCACTCCATCAAAGTTGGTTTTGCCATCACTTTAGTCTCCCTCTTCTACTACTTTGATCCTCTCTATCAAGGGTTCGGCGTCAATGCAATGTGGGCTGTTCTAACTGCTGTCGTCGTCTTTGAGTTCTCTGTTGGTGCTACGCTTGGCAAAGGGGTTAATAGAGCCTTGGCCACTATTATTGGAGGGATGTCCGGATTTGGTGCCCATAAACTATCAACTCTTTCAGGAAATAAATTTGTAGAGCCTTTTCTTCTTGGGCTATTCGTCTTCATCACAGGTAATAATAACATATGTATTTAAGTATTATTATTAGGATGAACTCTTGTAATTCTTTTATACATGTAAATATGTAATTTTTGCATGTATTTATGCAGCTGGATTAATGACGTTTATGAGATTTTTCCCAAAGATGAAGGCGAGATTTGATTACGGACTATTGGTATTCATATTAACATTCTGTTTGATATGCGTATCCGGGTACCGAAACGAAGAGGTAATAGAAATGGCGCACATAAGGATTAGTTCCATTCTAATAGGAAGCTCAACTGCTGCTATTGTGTGTGTTGTTATATGCCCTGCTTGGGCTGGCACTGACCTTCACAACCTTGTTTCCACCAACATTCTCACGCTTTCCCTTTTCTTTCAAGGTAATTTCTTCTTCTTTTTTTTCTTTTCTACAATTACATTTCTTTTTATCTATATAATATATGGTTAATTACTTAATTTCCCATTATGATATTATCTTGGTAATAATGTAACTAAATTAAAATAAGATGTATTTTCTATTGATAGTTTTTGGTTGATTGTATGAGTTACATTACTTTATTGGAAAATGAATTATTAGTAAAAAGTGTCCAAGAGTTGAAAAGGACATGCATAATAAAAAGCAGTGAGTGGTAAATGGATATCACTTTCACAAATGAAATGATAAGCCATTATAAACTCAAATAAGAGTAGTGTCTTATCTTGCATCTTCATGATCTGAGGTGTTGGATGCTTTGTCGTTAATTTAGTGAATCATCCACCTACTCTTGAATCTTATATTAAATACATCATACAAATACCTGGCCTTTTAATATTAAAAACATCACAATAGCTTTTATTATACTCGTACTTAACAATTGACTCATGCTCCCATTTACCTAGCGTCATTATAGTTTAATTAATTCTATGAACAAATGATCTTCTCTTAGTTAAGGATAGAATATAAATAATAGTTTAAGTCTATTACAATAAAGTTAATTTAGGATTTTCCTTTCACAAAAGTAAATATGATCTACTTTTACTATATGTATGCATGCCTTTCTATCTTCAGATCAGAGGACTTATTGGTGTTAAACTGTTAACCTTTCCAAATACATAGTAATTAAGTTTATGACTACAATAGTTAATTCCATGCATGATTGAGCTTTTCTTTTAAGGCATATCGCTACACTTGTTAATTTTACCTAGAGTATAAATGATTAAATCATTTGGTTCATCACAGGATTTGGGCTTGAATACTTCAATACTTCATCGGATATAAACTCAGATGATGAGTATAAAACATCAATTGATGCAATTAATAATGTACTCAATTCCAAAAACAACATAGATACTTTGGTATGTTTCTCTCTGCACATCTACCTTCTTTGTCTTAAATTATGGAGTTCTCTTAATTTCCCACTTACAAAGATTGTTAATATATTGATGCATACAGCTAAATTATGCAAGATGGGAGTTCCGCCATGGACGGTTCAAGCGTGGGCATCCATGGACTCAATACCAAAAAATTGGAGAGTTAGCTAGACATTGTGCCTGCAGGGCCGAAGCCCTCCATGGGTTGCTATATTCTCAAGTCCAGGCATCAAATGAAGTGAAGGCAAAATTCCAAGAACCTTGCATGAAGATTAGTGCAGAATCAGGCAATGCATTGAACGAACTTTCAATAGCTATTAAGAAAATGAATAAGCCCTCCAAGGCAAAACCTCACCTCCAAAAAGCCAAACAAGCAGCTGAAAATCTCAACCTCATGTTAAAATCAAACATATGGAAAAACCTTAACCTTTCAGATGTAACACCTGCAGCCACAGTTGCTAATCTGCTAGCAGATGTTGTCTCATGCACCGAGGATATTGCTGAGGCGGTCCAAGAGCTTGCATCCCTTGCTAAATTCAAGGATGTTAAGGATGTTAAGGTTTCTCCTCAAATTGAAAAGGCCAAGTTGACGAATCAAGGATCCACTAAAAGGCGTTGTGTTGCTAATAATCATGTGATACTAATTGAGATCCCGTCACCAACTTCTTCTCCGAGGGTCTCAGTACCAAGGGATCCACCTTCCTTAGCTATGGCTCAACAAAATGCTGAGTAATATATAGACTCTGCTCATTTGTTTAAATTGGGTAGGCATAGTCTTCTACAAAAATTTTGAACTAATTGTTGGTCTGATCATGTTACATTGCAGACTAATTAATTTTCTTTAGAATCTATAATATGAATATATAATGCTGCAGACTAATTAGAGTTGTAAAAAGTTGACCCGACCCGAAATATCGATTAGAATCCGATTATTAACCGACCCATCTAAACCTGAAAAAATGGTGACCCAAATCAAACCTGACCGTACCTGAAACCAACCATAGACCCGAGTTGACCCGAGCATGTGAGACCCAAATCCAAACATAAACTGACCTGGAGATGACCCGACCTGAATGTAACCCGTAAATTATTGACCTGAACCGAACCCGACTTGAACCGAAATTGATTCAAACCCGTTTTAACCCGTCAAAACCCGAATTTAACCCGACTTGTTACTAACCTGACCTGAATTCAAACCAACCCGTTCCTAACCCGAACCGAATTTAACCCAACCTGTTACAAACCCGACCCGAAATCAACTCGACTTGTTATTAACTTGACCCAAATTTTACCAGACCTATTACTAACCTGACCCAAACATTCAACCCGATCTGTTACTAACCCGACTCGAAATCAACACGACTTGTTATTGACCCAACCAAAATTCAACCCAAATTATTCCTGACCCGATTTCAAATCACCTTAAATGCAATTTAGACCATCTTATTATTGTTAATTAAAGCATTTTGTTGAGGGACCAAGTCGGTCCAGGCCAACAAAAGAAAAAAGCATCATCCTCAAATTTAAGAGTTAAATATAGTATATATTTGTTATATGGTCAAAGGAGATAATTATCTTCCTAAATTATAGACTATAGTTCCCTAATATATTTTCATACATATTATAGTCAAAGGAAATAATTAGCTTGATAAAAATGATAATTATCTATTTATAGTTAGTTGAACCCGAATATGACCTGACTTGGAAATGACCCGACCTGATTGTAACCTGCAAATTATTGACTTGAACATAACCCGACTTGAATTCGAGAATGACCCGACTTGGAAATGACCCAACCTAATTATAACCCGCAGATTATTGAATTGACTTGAACCAAACCCGACTTGAACCCGAGAATGACCCAACTTGAAAATGACCCGACCTTATTATAACCCGCAAATTATTGACTTGAATCGAACCTGACTCAAACCCGAGAATGACCCGAACTGATTCTAACCCGCAAATTATTGACTTGAACCAAACCCGACTCGAAATCGAGAATTACCCTAACCCGTGAAAAACCGAAATAAACCCGACCTATTGTTCACCAGACCCGAATGTAACCCGACCTGTTATTAACCCAAACTAAACCCGATAAGAAGTAAGACCCGCATGACCCGAGTCAAGCATGACCCAACCCAAACCTGACACGAATAGGTTATGGAATTAATCCGAATTAACCCGACCCGAGTTGACCCGATCCACTCTTATAGACCCAAACCCAACCCGTTTACCCGAATTGACATCTCTACCCGAAACCTCCAAAATTTTTCAAAAAGCGTGGATATTAGCATTTAATTTTGAAATTTTTGACTTTTTTCGACCGAAAATAAAAATTGCCAAAATGTTTACCATGGTCCCTAATACTCTCTAGGATCGGAGTCCCTAATACGACCAATTTACCGATTTACAACTTGCACTGAGTTCATTAACACAAACCTACCACGAACATTTATAACAACAAATAATGATCATATATGATTCCAAACGTCATTATATTCCCTAGAATTTCAAGATTTTTCGACACCGGGCCCTGAAACATCCAAAATTTCTCAAAAAGTGTGGATTTTAGCCATCAATTTTGGATTTTTTTGACTTTTTTTCGCCCGGAAATAAAAATTGCTGAAATGTTTACCATGGTCCCTAATATCCTCTGGGAGTCCAATAAGGTGGGTGGAACCATCCAATTTTCCTTAAAACGACCAATTTACCGATTTATAACTTGCACCGATTTCATTAATACAAGTCTACCACGAACATTTATGACAACATATAATGATCATATACAGTTCCAAACGACATTTTATGACCCCGAGAAGTATCCCCTATAATCTCAAGCCTTTTCGACACCAGACCGGAAAACCTCCAAAAATTTTCAAAAAGCGTGGATTTAGCCTTTAATTTTTGAATTTTTTTACTTTTTTTCGCCCGGAAATAAAAATTGACGAAAAGTTTACCATGGTTCCTAATACTATCCGGGAGTCCCATTAGGTGGGTGGAACCATTCAATTTGCCTTTAAACGAAAAATTTAACAATTTACAACTTGCACCGATTTCACTAACTCAAGCCTACCACGAACATTTATGACAACATATACTGATCATTTATGGTTCCCAACGACATTATATGACCTTAAGATATATCCCTTAAAATCTCATTTCTTTTCAACACCGGGCTCCGAAACCTTCGAAATTTCTCAAAAAGCATGGATAATTAGCCTTCAATTTAGGAATTTTTTTACTTTTTTTTTGCCTGGAAATAAATATTGCAGAAATGTTTACCATGGCCCTAATACCCTTTTGGAGTCCAATTGGGTAGGTGTAACCATCCAAGTTGCCTTTAAACAACCAATTTAACGGTTTACAACTTGCACCGATTTAATTAACTCAAGCATATTACGAACATTTATGAAAACATATAATGATCATATATGGTTCCAAACGGCAAAATATGACCCCAATATATATCTCCTAGAATTTCAAAACTTTTCGATACCGGTCCCTAAAACCTCCAAAATTTCTCAAAAAGTGTTGATATTAGCCATTTTAAAATTTTTTGACTTTTTTGGCCCGAAAATAAAAATTGCCGAAATTTTTACCAAGGTTTCTAATACCCTCTAGGACTCCATTTGGGCGGGTGGAACCATCCAATTTGCCTTTAAACGACCCATTTACCGGTTTACAACTTGCATCAATTTCATTAATTCAAGCCTACCACGAACATTTAGACAACATATAATGATCATATATGGTTCCAAACGACATTATATGACCCCGAGATGTATCTCCTAAAATCTCAAACCTTTTCAACACCGGGCCCCGAAACCTTCAAAATTTCTCAAAAAGCGTAGATAATTAGCCTTCCATTTTGGAATTTTTTTATTTTTTTTCGCTCGGAAATAAATATTGCTGAAATGTTTAACATGTTCCTTAATATCCTTTGGGAGTTCCATTGGGTGAGTGGAACCATCCAATTTGCCTTTAAACTGTCAATTTAGCGATTTACAACTTGCACTGATTACATTATTTCAATTCCACCACGAACATTTATGACAACATATAATGATCATATATGGTTCCAAACGTCATTATATGACCCTGAGATATATCCCCTAAAATTTCAAAACTTTTTGACACCGAGCTCAAAACCTCCAAAATTTCTCAAAAGGTGTGGATAATTAGCCTTCAAGTTTGGAAATTTTTGACCTTTTTTCGCCCAGAAATAAAAAATTTCCGAAATGTTTACCGTGGTCCCTAATACCCTCTAGGAGTCCAATTGGGTGGGTGGAATCATCCAATTTGCCTTTAAACGACCAATTTACCGGTTTACAACTTGCACCGATTTAATTAATCAAGCCTACCACGAACATTTATGACAACATATAATGATAATATACAGTTCCAAACGACATTATTATATGACACCGAGATGTATCCCCTAAAATCTGAAACCTTTTCAACAGCATACCCGAAAACCTCCAAAATTTTTCAAAAAGCGTGGATAATGCCTTTAATTTTTGAATTTTTTTACTTTTTTTCGCCCGTAAATAAAAATTGACGAAAAGTTTACCATAATCCCTAATAACCCCCGGGAGTCCAGTTGGGTGGGTGGAACCATCCAAATTGACTTTAAATGGCCAATTTACCGGTTTTCTACCAGCACCGATTTCATTGACTCAAGCATTTCACGAACATTTATGACAACATATATGATTATTTATGGTTCCAAACGACATTATAAGACTCCGAGATGTATACCCTAAAATATCATTTATTTTTGACACCGGGCCCGAAACCTTTGAAATTTCTCAAAAATCATGGATATTAGCCTTCAATTTTGTGATTTTTTTTTAACTTTTTTCGCCTGGAAATAAAAATTGTCAAAATGTTTACCATGGTTCCTAATAGCCTTTGGGAGTCCAATGGAGTGAGTGGAATAATTCTATTTGCCTTTGAACGGCCAATTTACCGACTTATATCTTGCTCCGATTTCATTAACTCAAGTCTACCACGAACATTTATGACAACATAAAATGATCATATATGGTTCCGAACTGCCTTATATGACCCCGAGATGTATCACCTAAAATCTCAAGCCTTTTTCGACATTGGCCACGGAAACGTCTATAATTTTTCAAAAATCGTGGATATTAGTTTTCAAATTTGGAATTTTTTTACTTTTTTTCACTCGGAAATAAAAATTTCCGAGGTGTTTATCAAGGTCCCTAATACCCTCCGTGAGTCCAATTAGGAGGGTGGAACCATCCAACTTGCCTTTAAACGACCAATTTACCAGTTAATAATTTGCACCGATATCATTAACTCAAGCCTACCACGAACATTTATGACAACATATAATGATTATTTATGGTTCCAAACGACATTATATGATCCCAAGATGTATCCCCTAAAATCTCATTTCTTTTCGACATCAGGCCCTGAAACCCTCGAAATTTCTTAAAAATCATGAATATTAGTCTTCAATTTTCGGTTTTTTTTTTTACTTTTTTTCGCCTGGAAATATAAATTGTCGAAATGTTTACCATGGTCCCTAACACTCTCCGGGACCAATTTACCGTTTTACAACTTGATTTTAAACGACCAATTTACCGTTTTACAACTTGCACCGATTTTATTAATCAAAGTCTACCATGAACATTTATAACAAAAAATAATGATCATATATGGTTCCAAACGGTATTATATGATCTCAAGATATATCTCCTAGAATTTCATGATTTTTGACACCGGGTCCCAAAACCTCCAAAATTTCTCAAAAAATGTGAATATTAGCCTTTTATTTTGGATTTTTTTTTTTAATTTTTTCCGCATGAAAATAAAAATTGCAAAAATGTTTACCATGATCCTAACACATTTGGGAGTCCAATTGGGTGGGTGGAACCATCCAATTCGCCTTTAAACGACCAATTTCCGGTTTACAACTTGCAACGATTTCATTAATTCAAGCCTACCACGAACATTTATGATAACATATAATGATCATATATGGTTCCAAACGGCATAATTTGACCCCGAGATGTATCTCCTAAA